CACTATATGCATGTGGTGCTGCTGGGGCCGGAAGAGGACATCAGATCCCCTGAAGCTAGAGGTATAAGCTGTTTTGAGTGCTATGTGGGTGTTGGGACTTGAACTCAAGTCCTTTATAAGAGTAGTACACAGCCTTAAGCCATGGAGTCTTTTCCAGGCCTTTGGTCTCTTTTTTTCTGCCTGCCTGCCTGCCTGCCCGCCCGAGACAGGGAGGCTTCACATAGCACTGATGTACCTCCAAGTCACTACACGACTGAAGATGACCCTGATCTCTGATCCTCTGCCCCTACCTCCTGAGTGCATGCTGCGATGCTGATAAGGTTCTGGGGACTGGAGGTACAGACCCAGCGCTTCAGCAGACAAACACTATCTGCTGAGCTCTACTCTCAGCCCTTCTTCAGTTTCTTGAGACAGAGCCTCACTATATAGCCTTGAACTCATGATCTTCCTACCTCAGCCTCCTGAGTGCTGGGATTTTTTTTTAAGACTTATTTATTTTTATTGTATGTGTATGGGTGTTTTGCCTGTTTGTATGTTTCTGAACCACATGCATGCCCACAGAGACCAGAAATGGACATAAAATCTCCTGAAGTGTAATGATAGTTGTGAGCGACCTAATGTGAGTGCCTGGAACCAAGCCTGGGTGCTCTGCAAGAGCAACCTGTGCTCTAACCACTGAGGCATCGCTCCAGCGCCTCATGTGCTGGGAGGGATTACAGGGACCAATCCCTCCACCTGGTTCCAAGAAACCACCTGGTTTCTTTTCTAAGAAAACACTCACTGTTTATAATTATTAATGATAGGGTTAATACATTTTCCTTATAGCACGCCTGTACTTTATAAACCAAAGAAACAAATGTAGCCAAATAAGAAAAATTTGAAAAAGCCATCATATACTGTTAAATTCCCCAGGACCAAATGGAAAAACTTTTATTATTAATACACATATTGGTGTTGGTAAGAATTATTCAGTGAAGTACTAGGAGAGTAAAGATCAAGTAAAGATCAGGAAACCCCCTAATCATTAAAGTATCCACACTTCCATGACAGTACACACAATTCAAAAGAACTAAGGGCAAGGTGCACTCCCAACTCAGCATTAATAAGAATGTATAACATCAAAAAATGCCTAACCACAAGGCTTTCATGTGGCTAAATGTTTAACAAAACACAAGTTTGAACAACAAAAATGTTAAAGCCGGGAGGTGCATACTTCTAATCCCAGCACTCAGGAGGCAGAGGCAGGTGGATCTCTATGAGTTTGAGGTCAGCCTCGTTTACAGAGCTGAGTTCTAGGATAGCCAGGGCTATACAGAGAAACCCTGTCTCAAAAAACAAAACATCAACAAACACACACAAAAAGAACCCCACAAGTTAGCTTACAGATGTTTTTCATATCTTTTAGAGCATTTCTGAATTCAGAATATGCTATATTTTATAAAATAGGTTTTTGTTTGTTTATTTTTAAGCTTTTTAAGACAAGGTTTCTCTGTGTAGCTCCAGTTGTCCTGGAACTTACTGTGTAGACCAGGCTGGCCTTGAACTCAGAGATCCACCTGCTTCTGCCTCCCAAGTGCTGGGATTAGAGGTGTGTACCACTACCCAGGCCATAAAAGAGACTTCTTAAAAGCTGAGTAATCCCTATTTCTTTACTGCTAGGGATTGATGCCAGCACATGCTAGCCAAGTGTTAAGTTCATCAGTACCTATTTATAACATGAAGAGTGAGAGTTCTGGACTTGGCCTTTTCAGATCCCTACAGCTAATTAATGTTAGGGTGAAAAAAGGCAGGAAAAAACAGAACACAGAATGTGAGGACTAAAAACTTACATACATAACCTAAATACAGGTGTGTGTGTGTGTTTAAGATTTATTTGAATGTTTTTACTTAGATATTCTTGTGTGTGTGTGTGTGTGAGAGAGAGAGGGAGAGAGAGAGAGAGAGAGAGAGAGAGAGAGAGAGAGAGAGAGAGAAATGTCTATAGATGCCAACAGAAGCCAAAAGAGAACACTAGATCCTCTGGATCTGGAGTTATCAGTGGTGTGACGCATCCAACATGGGTGCTAGAAACCAAACTCAGGTTCTCTAGAAGAAGAGGAAGCACTCTTAACCACTGAGCAATCGCTGCAGTCCATTTTACTTTGTTCTCTGAAAACATGGGCTAATGAGACGGCTCAGTGCATAAAGGTACTTGGCAATAGTCCTGACAACCTGCCTTCCTTTTTACTTTTTTGTCTGTTTGTATTTAGAGATAGGGTCTGACTATGTAACCCTGGCTGGCCTGGACCTCACAGAGATTTGCCTGCCCCTGCCTCTTGAGTGCTAGGACTAAAAGTGTGCACTACCACCACCCAGCTAGTTTTTAATTTCTAATGGCAATTATTTTCTGTGTATGTTACTGGGGATAGAACTTAAATTACTAACATTGGTAAACAGTGATTTTTAACCCATTGAGCCATCTCTTCACTGCAGACAGAGAGAGCGAAAAGAGAGAAAGATTTTGTTTTTTGGACAAGACCTCATTTTGTACCCTAGGTTGGCTTTAAAATCATGGCAATCTCCTGGCTTACTTCCAAGTTACCAGTATTACAGGCATGAACTGCCACACCCAGCTCGATGCCAGAATTTTTAGTTTCAGACTTTCAAGTACAAGTTGAGAAAACAGAAATGAAAAATAAGATTGTTTGGAGAGCCATACATTTATTTTAGTTCATTTTAATAGTCTATACGGACTTACTCATTCCCATTCTCTCTCTCGATACAGTCTTAGCAGGCTGGCCTTCAATTGTGATTCTCCTGCCTTAGCCATCCAGTGCTGGGATTACAGGCCTATGCTCTGGTACCTACATTCCCAGCCCCTTCTTTGTTTTATGTGGGAATGTTCAAAGTTTAAGAACTTATTTATGTTTGTCTAACTATGTCTATGCTGGAGTCACAGTGTTCTACCTTAGGACTTTTGTCAGGCTAAGGAAATTTCAGGTTGTTGATCATGTACCCTGTTCACTTAGGCTGTACTTACTCATTTTAGGTCATATTTACTCATTTTGGAGACAGGATCTCACTTTGTAGCCCTGGCTGGCCTGGAATGCATTATATAGATTAAGCTAATCTTAAATCATAGAGACCCACCTGCCTTTGCCTCCTGAGTGCTGTGGCTGAAATTTTTTTTTTAAAGATGTTTCCCAGGATGGTCCCCCAAATCCCTGATTTGTAATCTTCCTACCTAAGTCTTTTGAGCAAGTGGGAAAGTAGATGGAATAGTTTTCCATTTTCTCTTAGATTTATTTTTATTGTTATCTGTGTCTGTGTATACAGTGTGTGCAAGGGTCCAATCCTAAAGCAGGCATTGGATCCCTCTGAGCTATAGTTCCAGGTCATCTCCAAGTTGCTTCACTTGTTACCTGAGTACTGAGATCTATGAGCCTGTCCTCATGACTGCATAGTGAGCGATCTCAACAGCTGAGCCATCTCCCCAGTCCTTAAAATGGTTTTTACACGATATGTTTTCCCAAACTATTTTCTTGTGCATTGAGCAAATTATTCAAGCCTCACATTTCTTAGCTGTCAAAGAGATTGTTATGAAACTTTTTTTCTTTTTCTTTCTTTCTTTCTTTCTTCTTCTTTTTGAGACAAGACCTCTCACTAAAGAGCTCAGTCTAGCCTGGCATTCACGATCCTCCTGCCTCAGCTCAACCAAAGTGGACTTATACATACGTACTATCATATCCAACTCTGCTCTGCAATGATAAGAGAATATATATACTGTTTGGAAGAAAACTGGTGTCATTGGGGGGCCCTGGTTAATGTGGCCTTTTTAGTGTGTTGCTTGTGGAGCAGGCCACCTGAGTGCTGGGAACTGACCTCAGGTCCTCAGCAAAAGCAATATACACTCTTAATCACTGTGTAGCCCAGGCAAGCCCTGGTCTTCCTGCCTTGTTTCCCTCGTGCTGGGATGATTTGATTATTGTGTGCATGTGTATGTATAATGTGAAGGGGTACAGGGCACACGTGCCACAACTGTGTGGCAGCCAGGAACAACTTTCTGGAGTTAGTTCTCTCCTTCTACTATTGACTGTTCTAGCAGTTAAACTAGATCATCAAGCTTGCATAAGGTCTTTTACCAACTGAGCCATCTCATCCATCTGAGATCGTCAAGATTACTCTTAGCACATACTGGGAGAAAATGAACCAGTTAACAACTTCCAAATGAATGGCTAATACCAACAGCTATCTTCTTTGATTCATATTCCCTTAACTATATTCAGGTATTTTCCATCAAGCACGTAGCTTTTTAGCTGTTAAAAGTAATCTTTATGGGGGTGGTGAGGGCAATACTCCAGATTGATTGAAGGTCCTGGAACTTGCTGAGCACACTCTGCAACTTATCCACATTCCCATCTCCCTGGGCTTGGCAGTGCATGCCTGTAATCACTGCACTATGGCAGTTAAAGGCAGGAGATCAATTCAAGGTCATCTTTAACTGTTTAGTAAACTCAAGGACAAGGATGGCCCGAACTAAGGAACAACCTGTCTCCGCAAAGAAAACACAGAAAGAAGGAAAGGGACAAACAAATCTGAGTACAACTCTTAGACCCCAAATCTTTTAATTTACTCTCACTGTGATTATTGTCATGCCAGGGCAATAATTTGGAATTAATTAAAATTAATTATTATTTTATTATTTTCTAGGAGTAGTTTTAATTAAATACTTATTATTTTCTAGGACACCACCAAAACCTTTTTGCATGTGTGCACACCCCAAGTGCCAGGTTTAAAAAGGCATCTGCCACCATACTTGTCATGTTTCAGTCCTATGGAAGTGACTGCACAAAAACATAAGGCCCTGGAAATCTTAAGAGGGACTGAAAAAAAAAAAAAATTGCTTGGAGAACCACATGTTTGGAGGACTGAGGTAGGAGAATTGCTTGAGGCCAGGAGTTGCAATTCATGATAGGCAACTCAACAAGATCTTGTCTCCTTAAAAAGAAAAGAAAAATTACCTACAAAACAAAGGCAGCAACAGTAGGCAATCTATTAAGTTAACTTAGAGGTATGAAAAGAAACTTATTTAAAGACTAATTAATTTTAAAAACCATTGTTTTCTTAAGGCTTCAAGTATTAAGTCCAAATCTTAAGAATGCAAGTTTTATGTTTCTAAATTTCAAACACTCCTCAGATGAGTACCTGGCTTTATGAAGCTGGTTTGAAGTGCAGGGTCTCCAGAAGAAACATACTGATGATCTGCTGTTAAATTTGTATTCCCAGATGCAGATGGTTGAGCTATATGAGGAAAGTGGTTAGTCTGTGGTCCTGTGGATGGGTAGTTATATTGCCAGTTTAAAGGTGGTGGTGCATTGGTTCCAGGAAGAAAGCTACCAGAAGGCATTGATGTAGCAGTTGGGTTCTGAGAAGGAGGTGGTGGCATTCGGGACGGACCACTATGAAGTGAGGGTGGTACTGGATTAGAAGCCACAAGTGGTCTATTAAGAGTCTGCCCAGATCCCTGAGAACCACCAAAGTTCAACTGTGCAGAGAACGGATTCAAAGTCTTTGCTGGCATTGGACGAGGGTAGGATCCTGGAAGTTGGGAATCATATCCTTGGCTCGATGACACTTGTGATGACATCAGTGTACTTTGGACAGGACCTTCAGATGAGATAGGAGAAAAAAAATCAGTCTTAAGCAAACAAAGGTAACAATACTTTGAAAAATACAATAAGGGAGGGAGACACCTGCCTCTGCCTCTTAAGTGCTGGGATTAAAAGCATACATACACCAACATTCCCAGTTTCATCCTGGTTGGCTTGGAACTTGCTATGTAGACCAGAAGCTTCTGGTTCCACACAGGCAAAGGTACTTGCTTCTGTACTCAATACATAGGCACTTACACAGATACATACATACATACATACATACATATAAATAAATAAATAAACAAATAAATAAATGAAATAAATCTAAAATTAGACATTTATTCAACATAATTGCCACTGGAGAGTGGCAAATTAAACCTAAAACAATATAAGAACCACTTAAACCAACAATGATGATTAAAACAAAACAAAACAAAAAAGATGCAGTAACAAGTCAGGCTCCTTGTAGGACTATAAACTCATGCAGCTACCATCCCTGCTCTCAACATTTTAAACAGTTACTACATGGCCTTGCAATCCCCTTAGACTGCATAGTCACTTTACACAAATATTTAGAGCAGCATTACTTGTACTATCTGTGGTGCTGCCATGCTTCCTGCCATGATGATAATGATTATGCCTCTGAAGCTGTAAGCAAGCCTCCAATCAAATGCTTCCCTTTTTAAGAGTTACCTTGGTCATGATGTCTCTCCATAGCAATAGAACAATGACTAAGACAGAAGTTGGTATCAGTGATTGGGGTATTGCTGTGGCAGGCCTGCCGTGCTGTGGACTGGAAACACAGTCGGACACTTTAAGCGGGGCTTATTGGGCCCTCCTGGTAGAAGTATGGAAGACAGTGTTGAGGGCAATTTGAACTGTGGGGGTCAAGCTCAAGACATTTCAGGAGGGAAGAACACTAGTAAGTGGCCTAGGGACCGTTCTTGTGATACTCTGGTCAAGAATATGGCTGCCTGAACTACACTGAAAAGCAGCAAGTGAGGCAAGAATAATTATAAAATGTACTGTTTGAGGAGAAAAGGAGCACAGGGAAATGTAATAGAGCTAAGTTCAATGCTTAAGAGATTAAAAAGTGTAAAGAAAAGCCTGATGCTAAATGGAATAACGACAGTGGTGAGCTCAGGGCATGACCACAGCCAGATAAGATTCCAACTTGTGAAAAGGAATTAAAGGAAAGCTGAGGCAGTAAAGGAAACCCATCAGCAACATGAAGCTGGTGCAGGTATAACTGAATGAGGAGGACAAGTTACAGCACCATCAAGGAGAACTTGGCAGCTTTGGCCACATGGTTTTGCCTTTGGAGTGAAGGATACAAGAATGGGGTTGTAGAAGCTCCTTCCATGGCTAAGGAAAGTCACTGAGGACAAGTATGTGTGAGGGGTGTTCTGGGTGAAGGCCTAAAGAAATCACTGTATGAAGCTGTGAAGATGAAGCCTGGATTTCATTGGAGATTCCAAGATGATGAAGATGCTAGATTTGTGGGATACTTACCGAGAAGAGCTGAAGATCTGGTGTGGACCAGCCCAAGAGACAGAGAAGTGTGTTACTATCAACAAGGCTGAAAGGAGTTGGAGAGTGAAGACCATTTTGACATCTGACATAGAGATGCAGAATTTGGAGTTTGTTTTGCTGGTTTTAGGTCTGCTTTGCCCAATATCTCCTCACTATGCTCCCTTTCCTCCCTTTTGGAATGGCAATGTATATTCTGTATATAATGTTGAAATGATGTAATCTGCCTTTTTTGTTTTGATTTTATAGGGGCCTACAGTTAAGAGAATCCCATGAGTCTCAGAAGAGACATAAACTTTGTTGTTTTTTTTGTTTTGTTTTGTTTTTTTGTTTTTTTGGAGGGGGTGTTCAAGAGAGAAATGACGCCCTGGTTGTCCTAGAACTCAGAGATTTGCCTGCTTCTGCTTCCAGAGCCCTGGGATTAAAGGCGCCACCACTATACCACTTACCACTAGGTGCTGAACTCTGGACTTTTAAAACTGTTGAAACTGAGAGAATATGGAGACTTCTGAAGTTGGACTAAATGAATTGTAATATAGCATAAGCTTATGGGCCCAGGGAGTAGAATACATGATTTGAATAAGAATGGCTCATATGAGCTGGAGAGATGGCTCAGAGGTTAAGAGCACTGCCTGCTCTTCCAAAGGTCCTGAGTTCAATTCCCAGCAACCACAGGGTGGAGCATAACCATCTGTAATGAGATCTGGTGCCCTCTTTGGCATGCAGGTGTACATGCAAGCAGAGCACTGTATAACTAATAAAATAAATAAATAAATCTTAAAAAAAAGAATGGCTCATAGGCTCATATATTTGAATGCTTAGTCATTAGGGAGTGGCACTATCTAAGAAGGAGTAGGTATGGCCTAATCCCTTTTGGAGTAGGGGTGTCCTTATTGGAGGAAGAATGTCACTGCAGGTGGGCTTTGAGGTTTCAAAAGCCCATGCCAACCCAGTTCTCTCTCCTCCTGTGGCCTAGAGATCAGGATGTAGCTCTCAGCTACTGCTCCAGTGCCATGTATGCTAGCACGCTTCCTGCCATGATAATGGCCTAAACCTCTGAAACTGTAAGTAAGCCCACAATTAAATGTTTCACTTTTTAAGAGTTGCCTTGGTTATGATGTCTCTTTATAGCAAGAACAGTGATTAAGACAATATCCCCAAAATGGAGACAACCACCACCAACAACAAAAGAATGATAACCTTGTGGGATATAACTATACAGTGAGATATGACTTGGTCAAAAAAAAAAAAAAAAAGAAAGAAAAAAAAAGAAAAAAAGCACTGCTAACATGCCATAAATGAATAAACCTTAAAAACAAGCTGTATGTTGGGACTGGAGTTATAGTTCTGCAGCACAGTGTCTGCCTACTATGTATAAGGCCCCGACTTCACTTCCCACCACCACACACACAATGGAAAGAAGCCAGACACAGGAGGCTCTAATTATACATGCATTGTATAATTAACCTATATACAATGTCAGAATAAGAAAAGCCAGACACAAAGGCTGATTCATGCTTGGGGCACCAGAGTAACTACTAAAGGTTTGCCCTGCTTTTGGGGCAGAGCAAACCCTTTGGGGAGAGTGATCTGCTGAACTATGGGCTACTGGATGGCTCACTGAGAAGGCATTGGCCTGGCAACTTGCAGTTGTGACAGTGGAAGAGAACTGGCCTAGCAAATATCCTCTGACCTCTGCAAGTGTGCGCCATGGCACATGTACACTCCACTCCACACATCATACACCTCTCTCACACACAAACACACCAAACAAACAAACAATAAAATCAAGTATTGGGTTTTTTAAGTATGCATACCGATTCCAGGTGTGGTAGCTCATGCCTATAATCTCAGTATTCTAGAGGCTGAGGACCTCTGTGACCAGAGTATGAGACCAGCCTAGGTGATAGAGACCTTATCTCAACAAACAAACAAAAAGCAGGAGGTGGGGTGGGGGCTTCCATTCCACACAACTGGTCATTGTCATAAACATCCTCCCCCCGCCCCCCGTGGACGTGATGACCTTCTATGTTGGTGAGGACACAGATGGTCTAAGAGGGCTGCCCCTCCCCACGCTTGATTGCTCTTATGGATCTGGCTGCTTATATGAACCCTTTCTAATGTCTATTACAAATGTTTCCTCACCAGGGGCACACACCTGTATTCCCAGTACTTAGGAAGGCAGAGGCAGGTGGATCTCTGCGAGTCTGAGGCCAGCCTGGTCTACAGCGAAAGCCCAGGACAACCAAGGCAACAGAAAAACTGTCTCAAAAAAACAAAAACAAACCCAAATGTTCCCTCACATTCTGTGAACTGTCTACCAAAGTACTGTATCCCAGCAGAAAGATCATGGGATTCACTGATATAGCCAATCAGAAGCACAGATCAGAAACCTAGACTTAGTACTGGCATCTGAAGTAACTTGTGGGACTGAATCCTTATGTGATTTGAAGGGTCTGGTGGTATCTCCAGGTAGAAGGAATCATAACTGTATAGGACAGGTTGCAGGTGGTGTTCACTGGAGAATTGAGAGCATGTGAGACCCTCTCTTAAAAAGAACAAGAAAAACAATCAAAAGCCTAATCTCCTGGAGGACACTTACTGTTCTGCTATGAAGAGGTAGGAGTAAAGGAACAAACACTGCTTTATTCTTCCCTCTGCTTCTCTTGCACAGCAAGGACCCCCCGTTCTCAAAGAGGATCAATTAGTGCAGAAAAGTGCTTCACACTCACACCAACAGCAACTTACAAATCAAAGAGGAACTTGCAACAAGGGTACAGATTGAGACCCCAAGGCTAACCTTAGTAAATTTCCATTCTGCAAGACTCAATGAAAGCAACTTCAGGCAAGGTAACTCACACTTGTAATCCCAATACTTGAAAGGCAGATACTAGAGGACTGCTGTGAGTCAGAGGCTTGTGTGAGCTACAGTGGGAGACACTGTAGCTCAACCTATCACAAATAGACAGATGACAGATAGATGAATAAGCAAATGAACTGGATATAATGGCAAACATCAGTAATTCTAACACCTTGGTGGCAGAGGCAAAAGGATCCCATCAAGTTTAAGGCCAGCTTGTTCTACAAAGAGTGTTGTAGACCAATCATGGCTCCACAGTAAGATTCTGTTGAGAAAATCAGGGGGTGGGGTATACATACATATACACACAGACATCCAGGCTCGCTTTGGCAACTTAGCAAGATCCCATCTCAAAATAAGCTTTAAAATGGGGTAAGACCTAGATGTTAGCTCCATGACAGCATGTTAGTCAGCTATTTGGGACCATGTGCTCAAGCTTCAGCAAGTAACTTCCAAACAAACAAAAACCTACTGATATGGATAATCTTTTAAATAAATGATGCCCTTATTATTCATTAAATCAAACATAAAATTAAAAGAATCCTTCTTTTACACCAATTAACATACCAATTGTATTACAACAATTAATACAAAACTATGACTTAAAAGTTTCCTCAGTAAGC